ATTTATTTATTAGAGAGAGGGAGAGAGCACATGTGTGTGATTGAGTTTGGCGGGGAGGGGCGGAGGGAGAGGGAGAGAGAATCTCAAGCAGATTCCCTGCTGAGCATGGACCACAATGTGGGGCTCGATCTCAGACCCTGAGGTCACCACCCGATTGGAAACCAAGAGTTGGATGCTTAACTGACTCTGCCACTCAGGTACCCCAGTTTTTTTTTTTTTTAAATTTTTTATTCTTAACAGCTTTATTGAAGTCTGATTTACATACCATAAAAATCTACCTCTTCTAAGTGTAGAATGCAGTGATTTTTAAAATTTATTTATTTATTTATTTTATATATAGAGAGGGTGCACACAGGGGGGTGGGGAAGTGTCTTAAGCCGACTCTGTACTGAGGGCAGAGCCCAATGTGGGGCTCAGTTTCACGACCTTGAGATCACCACCTGAGTGGAAACCAAGAGTCATTTGCCTAACCAACTGTGCCACCCAGGCACCCCCTGCAGTGATTTTTTTAAAGTAAATTTATAGAGTTGTACAACCATTAACACACCCAGTTTTAGAACATTTTCATTATGTCTATTTTCTATTGTTCCAATTTACAATTAATCCCAATTCCAGCCTTAGGCAACCACTAATTGACTTTTGGTTTCTAAATATTTACCTTTTCTCAACATTTCGTGGAATCCTACAACATGTGGCTTTTTGGGTCTGACTTCTTTCCGTTAGCATAATATTTTCAAGGCTCATCTCTGTCATAGTGTGTTGTCAGTACTTCCGTTCTTGGTATTGCTGAGTAGTATTCCATTGTCTTGAGATACCACATTTTATTTATCCATTCATCTGGTCAACAGTTGTATGCATAAAAACTTAAAGTGATTTTCTTGGCTGATGCTTTTATTTATTTATTTGAAAACTTTTTAAAAAAGGATTTTATTTATTTATTTGCCAGAGAGAGCACAAGCAGGGGGAGCGGCAGGCAGAGGGAGAAGCAGGCTCCCCACTAAGTGAGGAGCCCAATGCGGGGCTCGATCCCAGGACCCTGGATCATGACCTGAGCTGAAGGCAGATCTTTCACCGACTGAGCCACCCAGGCGTCCCTTGACTGGTGCTTTAAAAAATAAATGAAAACATTCGCTGTTACGTTCCCCTAATTAATTACAAACATGCCCAGTTCATTGACTCACGGTAGAAGTTAGCTGTGATGAAGTGCCACGGAGGTAGCTGACCCACCACGGCGATGCCCGAATGCATCTCGCAGAGAGCATTCTGGGAAATAGGAGAGACCGAGATGAGGAAATAAAGAGCCCTACTAGCACAAGTGCTCCTTTCATTTTGCAGGAATGATCATATAAGTGAGTAGAGATGAGAAGAAACGGAAACCTTCGGGTGACAAGGTTATAAATCAGTGCCTACAGTGTGCCTAGGGTTACACAAGTGTGTTCTGCTTGATTCACTAGTCCTGACTGAGCTGGGTTCGGATTACAGATTACATGAGATCTTCTGAGATGCATCTCTCTCCTGAATGTCCATCCAGCCTGTATTCTGAATGCCCCCAGGGGAGGGACTGTTTTGGTCATCTTTACCACAGTAGCCAGGCATTGTGCTAGGTGCTGGGACAACAAAGATGAATGAGGTACAATCCCTGTTGTGTGGGAGCTCAGGTCAGCATGAGGAGGCATCTCTAAAGCAGATCATTAACAGAGAGGTTGGTCAAGGGCTGCAGTAGAAAGAAGTTGAGAATGAGGAAGCACTCAGGCAGGCTTCCTGGTGGAGGGGACCCTTGAGCTAAGTCTTGAATGACCAGTAGGTATAAGCTCAGGTCCATCGGGGAAGTGAAAAGGGGACATGGGAAGGGTGATAAATAGCATGGCCTTTGGCAAGGTAGTCATCATTATGAATTAATTATAGGATTAGTACTCCCCCTGGGTTTTCTGCTGTGTTAGGTTGGTTGTGACCTGTCTGTATCTAGAAGGTAATACTGATGATGTAACCCAAACCTTGGGGACTGGTTTTGTGCTGTTCACCTGCATTCCATTCCCTTTAGGGGCTAGATATTATCTAGAGTTGGCAGGGCAGCCCCTGACTTGTGCATTAGAGAGCCAAGTAAACAGAGATTGTTGATTCAATTATTATATTTGCAGATGATTTGTTTAAAGATACAGGATGTGCTTTATTTTTTAAAAGTATTTTTATTTTTATTATTTTTAAAACAGATTTTATTTATTTATTTGAAAGAGAGAGAGAGAGCACGAGCAGGGAGGAGGAGAAGAGGGAGAGGGAGAAGCAGATTCTCCATTGAGCAGGGAGCCCGATGCGGGACTCGATCCCAGGACCTTGGGACCACGACCTGAGCCGAAGGCAGACGCTTAACTGACTGAACCACCCAGGTGCCTCCAGGTTGTGGTTTATTATGGAGACTCTAAACACAGCCCGGGGTTTTTGTTTTTTTGCCCTGAGATAGGGCTTTGGTTGGGCTCCATTTTGCCATTCCTGTTTTGGTTCCTGGAATTTAGATGGTTTTGTTAGGTGTCCCAGTTTTCAGGAAGCCCAGAAATGTGGGCTTGCATGGATTTGTAGAGAGACTAGCATATACACATGTCATATTCAAGAGTGACATCTGCCTTGGAAAGAGGGTTGTTTCAATGTGGGGGGGAGTATTCTGGGACTCATGGCTCAAGATTAATTACTCCCCTATCCACTGAAAAAGCAATTATGGAGCATACACCGTGTACCAGACACTGAGCTAGGTGCAGGGGAGCCAAAGTGGGAGCTGGAAACCAGAGTGTTGTTGAGGACAGGTGTTAGGTGTGGGCTAATTAGGCTTCCTTCCTGTGGAGGGCCAGCTTTGATCTTTGACAGTGGTTACCTAGAATGCTGGGATGGATTAGTGATGTCTGTCATGAGCACAGAATGGAGAGTAAATGTGCAAGTGCTGTGTATTTACTGACACCGTGTTAGGGTTTTCTGGTGTAGACGGATGACTTGAGTAAAGGGGGGGTATAGGAGAGAGAGGACATTTGTCTCAGTAAGCATGTTTGCCTTGGTATGGGGTGTATCTGGAATCTACTTTGGATCAGTTTGGGATTAGGTAGGGCTGGAGTACAGATGTTGTTAATTATGTAGTCTTATAATGCTGCTTATTATGTACTCATGTACTGTCTCTTAAATGTCTTTAGCCTGTTTCTTTAGGTGTAAAATGGAGATAATACCTGCCTCACCTGTATATAGTAATGTTGATGGGAGGAGCTAAAGAAATAATGGGTATGAAAATATTTTACTGCCCGCAGAGCAATAAGCCCTTGGAGTATTATTACTGCAGGTGTGGAAGTGAGTGGAACCGGAAATGCCTGAAGTTAGGCAAGGTTGAGCCAGATGGTGACGGCCTCAGGGCCTTTGCACTGGGTCCCTCTGCCTAGTCTGCTGTGTCTGTCACATCCTGGTCATAACTCTAAGGTTAACCTCCATTCAGGCCCCAGAATCTAAACCTGTTCCTGCTGTTTCTTCACCTACCACCTCATCTGGTTTTACTTTCTTCAGAGTTCCCATCAATTGAAATGGTCTGGTTAGCGTCTTTGTGTATCTCCCTCTGCTAAAACTGTGCAGTTGTGGTGAGGCAGAGACTGTGCTATCTTTGTATCCTCAGAGCCTAGGTCAGTAGTGCCTGGTACATAGGAGGAGTTCAGGATTTATTATTATTTTTTAAGGGGAGGGGGATGGGAGAGTGCTAGCATGAGTAGGGTGGGAGGGCCAGAGGGAGAGGGAGAGAATCTTCAGCAGATTCCACACTCAGCATGGAGTCTGATGTGGGGCTTGAGCTCAGGACCCTGAGGTCATGACCTGAGCTGAAATCAAGAGTTGGACGCTTAATCAACTGAGCAACACAGGCGCTCCAATCTCATGGAATTTTTTGGTTAACTTTTCCTTAAGACTCTTTCTATAACAGTTTTAGGTTCACAGTAAAAATGAGAGGGCCTCATGGAGTTTTTAATATTATAACTGGTATGTATTACATAGGAGTTCATGGTGCTATGCGGTTGCATAACAGGGTGCCCCAAGGGTTTAACATAGGTTGCATGAGCGAATAGAAGGGCCTTAAAGTCCACAGACTCAATGGGCCTAGGTGCCCAGGAGCCCTGGGAGGACTGTAAAGAACAGAAGGTAGTATTGGGTGATGGGTATTAAGGAGGGCACGTGTTGTAATGAGCGCTGGGTGTTACACGCAACTAATGAATCATTGAACGCTACATCAAAAACTAATGGTGAACTGTATGGTGGCTAACTTAACATAAAAAAAAAAAGAATAGAAGGTAGTAGCTCTGACTTCATCTCTTTACCAATATGTTCGTGATTTCTTTGGTTATTGAGAAATAAATTTAATTGAATCCACAGTAGTAACTTAATTAAAAATTCATTCCATCAAGTCTGGATCTGACTTCACAATACAATCCCTTACAACAAAATAAAGAACAAGAATCAGAATTCATATTATTTTTTTTAGTGTATGTAACAGGCCATGAAATTATACAATATTTCCAATTTGGCAGTCTGGTGCATTCAATCTCTTGAAAGATAATCTAGTTCCTTAAACTACAAGTGATATGAATTAGAGTTGGACTTTGTGAATTGATTACAATTAGCCCACCCCTCCCCATGCCAGACTGATTTGTTTTTAAATTGGCTTTTATTTTTTTCTCCTCTGCTGGCTGGCACCAATTCCATTTTCCCTCCTTTCTTGTGAATTGTTCCTGTGTCTTCAAGAGGCTGATGAATATGGCTAGACTGTGGGGGGCTTCCTGGAGGTATGTGAGGCAAATGGAGAGAGGTGTGCTGAGGGGCCCAAGTCAATTGCATGTCAATTACCTGCCCATAAATCCAGGTGTCAGGTGTGTATCTCCCCTGAGGTTTAGAGCTAGTGACTCACCCCCTTTCCGGAGGGGCTGGGGCTGACCTGGTTGTCTCTCTTCCTGCACAGGTGGACTGATGAATCACTGGTTCTTTTGCAGGGTAACCTGTCTGTGTGCCCAGTTTGAGGCTGTCCTGCAGCATGGCCTGAAGAGGAGCCGGGGATTAGCGCTAACTGCGGCCGCGATCAAACAGGCAGCAGGCTTCGCCAGCAAAACCGAAACAGGTACTGCTTGGCCTGATGCAGTGTAGAAGATGTAGTCTTTTCTAAAAACTTTTTATTTATTTTTTAATAGCGGGCAAGGCAGGCATTGTGTGGGACTGGGATGGGGGCAGCCTGATGGTGCAGAAATCCACATGTGAGGATGTCTTCCCTGTAGTCAGTAATGGTGTTGTTCTTTGCAGAATCCTCAGAGCCACATGTTGCAATCTCTGGGGGCTCAGGGTCCTGCAGCCAAGGGACTTAAGTCACCAGGTGCCGTGGCAATTGCTGGGAGATGGATGATGTGTTTTAGTTTTGTGCATGGGGATAGCATGACATTTCATAATTAAATCTGTCTTCAACACCAGCAACAGAAACAACAGAATCAGTAGGTCTCTGAGCTTCCAGCTCTGCTACCATGCATTTTAATCCTGTCCAAGTAGTGTGCCGTGCTCCTGTGTGTCTGGATGACAGGGATAACGCTAACAATCACTACTAACACGCAGGAGCACTTTGCACAAGGCTGGAACTTCATTAGTCTTTCATATAAATTAACTCATTCAGTTTTCATGACAGCCTTGTGAGTAGTAGGGACCTTTATTTTCTCCACTGTACAGATGAGGAAACTGTTTAAAGTGATTTGCTTTGGATCTGGACCTAAAAGTGTATCATGTTGTACAAAAAACATTCTATGTCCTTCTTCCCCAACATTTTTATTTTTCGGAGAGAGTTGAGGGTGTGAGCAGGGGGTGGGGTTGGGGGGAGAAGGGCAGAGAGAGAGGGAGAAAGAATCTCAAGCAGGCTCCATGCCCAGTGCAGAGCCCGACGTGGGGCTCCATCTCATGACCCTGAGATCATAACCTGAGCCAAAACCAAGAGTCGGATGCGTAACTGACTGAGCCCCCCAGGCACCCCTCTTCCCCAGCATTTTAAAGAGCAGCTTCTTTCCGACCCTGCTTGTGGCTGCCTCGAATTCCCGAATCTCATTACTGTGATGACCTCCGTGTCCCTGCTGGTGCCCCTCTTTCCCAGCTGACCGTCCGCCCTCGCTGTGTCTGGCGGAGGTGTCTGTTGGGAATTCTCTGCCAAACATGCCCTTTGCCTCCCCTGCTCCCTCGTGTTGTGCATCTCCCTTCCTTTTGCTCTTAGCCCTTCAACGAATCTTCACTTGCTGTCGTTCATCTCACCAGTTGTCCATTTTTGTAAGTGAATGGGGTTCCCGTTGAGGTCAGGGGACAGCTGCAAGAGGGATTCCTGTCACTTTTTGATTTTTCTTCTGTGCTCCTGTGTCCCTTCCTTAAAAGTCAGGGACATAGAGGGCCGGGTCAAAGAGGAGCCGCCTTGCAGGGCCTCAGTCCCTGTGGAAACCACTGCCTACTGCCTCGGTCACCTGGGCTGTCGGCCTCTGTGGTCTCGGCGGTGTCTCCTGGCCTCTGCATGGGGGTGGCTCAGTGCTGTGGGCTGGTTGATGAGCTGCTCGAGGATGTAACTTTGCCCACATCCTTGATGTGATGGGCCCTTATATTTCTTCCTGTTTCCATATTCCCTGGCTCTGCAGCAGCTACCTGAGAGAAACGGGTGTGGAGTAGACCACTAGGCTCTGGGTTGGCTTCCATGCTGTGAGGGCAGCTGCTGACATGGCAGAGGCAGCCTTGGCTTTGGAGTCAGACCGTGAGTGTCAGTCTGGAATGACTCTGGGGAAGCGCCCCTCTGAACCTTAGTTGTTTTCACCTGTGAGGGCCATCTTCTCGTCTGCCTGGGGGGTTGTCCGGAGGATTCAGTGAGAATCAGTTGCTTTGGTTCATAGAACCTAATAAACATTTAACCAGTTACCCTCCTCTTCCTAACACCCTTCATTTTTATTTATTTATTTATTTTTAAAAGACTTTATTTGTCAGAGAGAGCGCGTGTGCACAAGCAGGGGGAGCGGCAGGCAGAGGGAGAAGCAGACCCTCTGCCCAGCAGGGAACCCGACTCGGGACTCGATCCCAGGACCTTGGGATCATGACCTGAGCCAAAGGCAGGCACTTAACCAACTGAGCCACCCAGGTTCTCCCCCAACACCCTTTAAACTTGTAACCATTTCCTCCCTCTCATCCTCACTTGGGACTCTGAGCCTTGGCCATGCAGAATGGCTCTTTCTGTTCCCATCTGGATTAGAATTCTTGTCTTTTTGTCACTTGGGCCTGGTAATCCAAGGAGCACCAGCACGTCTGTGAGGCACCGCCTGAGTTCCCATTCTTGCCCCTTCACTGGCTCTTAGCTCGATTTCTGCACCTGCATCCTGAAGAGAGACTGACCGGCACGCAGTCTCTGCTTTGTTTTCTGCTGCGGAGGAGGTTCTGGGCGGTCTCCTTGCTAATACGAAGCAGGGGAAAGCCAGACCAGCTTAGCTCTCCAGGGGCTGCTGAGGGCTCTGTCAATCTTGCCTGCGGTGCAGTTAACCAATCATTGGTGCCGGATGGTCCGTGGCTAATTAAAATCTCTTTCCCACTGTTGATGTTTGAATAAAAACCTCATATGGGGAGGGGCACATGTGGGTTTTCAACTGCTAGGAGTCGGGAAAGATCGGATCTTTGGCTGCTTGGTTGCTCTCGAAGCCATCGGAATGACCGTGGCAGGCAGAATGGAGAAAATGAAATCTAAAGAGGAGGCCTGCATGGAAATGAGCATCCCTGTGCTTCCTCGTCCTGCTGGCTGCTGGCCTGGGCCCTTTCTGTGGCTTAGCACTTGATACCAGGCCCTAGAGTCGGGCGACTGGGTTGAAATACCCTCCGGGTATTGTGCTGAGCGAAATAAGTCAATCAGAGAAAGACATGTATCATATGACCTCACTGATATGAGGAATTCTTAATCTCAGGAAACAAACTGAGGGTTGCTGGAGTGGGGATGGGTGGGAGGGATGGGGTGGCTGGGTGATAGACATTGGGGAGGTTATGTGCTATGGTGAGCGCTGTGAATTGTGCAAGACAGTTGAATCACAGACCTGTACCTCTGAAACAAATAATACAATATGTTAAGAAAAAAAAAAAGATAGCAGGAGGGGAAGAATGAAGGGGGGGATTTGGAGGGGGAGACAAACCATGAGAGACGATGGACTCTGAAAAACAAACTGAGGGTTCTAGAGGGGAGGGGGGTGGGAGGATGGGTTAACCTGGTGATGGGTATTAAAGAGGGCACGTTCTGCATGGAGGACTGGGTGTTATACACAAACAATGAATCATGGAACACTACATCAAAAACTAATGATGTAATGTATGGTGATTAACATAACAATAACAAATTTTAAAAAAATACACCATCTGGGACATCCCCTCCTGAACTTCCGTTTCCTCAGGTGTAAAATAAGGCCACGCACAGGACCGGCCTCACAGTGTTGTGCTGGGGGCTCCAGGAGGAAGCACCTGCAGAGCCCAGGCCTCGGTACAGAGCTCCTGGAGCTTGTGCTTGATAACATGGCAGCAACTGGAGCACGTGGGTGGCTCCGTCGGGTAAGCGTCTGCCTTTGGCTCAGGTCATGATCCCAGGGTCCTGGGATTGAGCCTCACGTTTGGCTCCCTGCTCAGCGGGGAGTCTGCTTCTCCCTCTCCCTCTGCCCCTCTTCTGCTCATGCTCTCTCTCTCTCAAATAAATAAATAAAATCTTAAACATGGCAGCGACTGTCCACGCTGGGTGACGATGTGCTTATTGTTTGGATGATGCCACTGAGGCCCAAATAAGTTGTTCAAGTTCCCATAACTAGTAAACGGCAGAGCTGAGGATTCCAGCCCAGGTGAGACTGATGTCAAATTCCTGGCTCTGCTCTGCGCCCCCCTCCTCCGGCAGTGGCCCGATGCCCATTGCTACTGCTCTGTAGACCACTCTTGCTCAATTAGCTGAATTGGAAGGGACAGGAGACAGTAAGTAATGGTGAATTAATCTACAGGGCTGTTGGAGTAGCTCTGTTTACAGATGGGAGGTATTACCTTTTGAAGACAGAAGAGCTGAATTTAAAGTAATGACTGAGCAGAATGAGAGTGTTGAAAATCACGCTACAGTAGATAATACTGAGTCCGTGGGGGCAGGACTGCAGTTGGTCATCGGGGGTTAGGTTGCACGCAGGGCTAAGTCTGGAAACTGGTAACCCTTGTATGGTGTGCTTAAAAAAATGTTCTTAAAAAGTCATCCACATTTATAAATTAAGATATTTCATGTTGAAATACGGATTTTTTTTTTTTTTTTAAATACGGATTTTTAGCTTTGTTTCACCTTGAGGCTCTGTGGCTCTGGGCCCACTTTCACTGCTGTGGTTGGAGCCCACGCCCCCTGCCATCTGTAGGGGGGCCCAGTGCTCTGGTTCTCCACACTCTGCTCTTCTCCCTCTTGCCCTTGACAGTTGAGACGCGTGGTGTTGTCATTTATTGTCCCGCTGTTGTTATTCATGTTGTTCGTGTCTGAAATTTAGCAGTTTTCACGCATAAACACCTCTCAGATGATAAGCCTTTGAAGTCAGTTTCCAGAGTGTGGAAATCGTTGTCATTTTTGTCCAGTTTTATAGTTGCTTTCTGGGGAGAGGATTTGTTAGCTTCCTACTTGGCTATAGCCAGAAGTCCCTTGTTTTTGTTTTGTTTTGTTTTGTTTTTGTTTTTGTCTTGATTTTGAATCCATCCTTGTCTTTGGCACGTGCTTGGTAGTTTCTACCGAGTGTTATGTATGAAGAGTTGGGTGAAACTTGTGATGATTTATCTTTCTTCAGAGGGGAGTCACTCTTGCTGCTCAGGCAAGTAGGATAGAGGAAGTTCAATTTACTCCCATCAAGGATTGAGCATGTCATGCCTGGGCTTTAGCATTTGCAAGGGCTGATGTATTTCTGCTTTTGCCTTCTTGCTAGGACATAGTTACTTGGGGTTTCCAACGTGTATTCATTTCCTAGAGCTGCCATAACAAATTTGCACACCCTGGGTGGCTTAAAACAACAGGGAGAAATTTATTCTCTCACATTTCTAGAGGCCAGGAGTCCAAAATCTAGGTGTTGGCAGAATTGA